TTATAACTCGAATAGAAAAGAAAAAAATTCCAGGAATAAGACAACAATATACGCACGACCATCGATTCCTCTCCAAAAACCACCCCGTTCGATCTCCGATATCCGATTAATCCCATCCCTCGCCCGATATTTCCATCGCCGTTTCGACCGACCGATTACCCAAACCATTTTACATATTTGATATTCTCGCGCGTCATCGATACACACACACACACTGATCGGGGGTTACTTCGTTGGGGGATAAATTTCCGCGGCTTGGAAGACAATCGCGCGGCCGTAAGTTCGTGTCGCATTAATCGCGTACAGCAGAGGGCCGTGGTGAATTAATTTAACGCTGCACAGAGTTCGACATTAGTTGCGTGCAATGTAATCTGTTGCCCGATTACGTGGCACGAATGCTCGACACGGTGTTCTAATGCATCTCTCTGGCCGCCCGCTGTTGCTACGATTCCACTCGTTTCGATACGACACGTTTAATATTCCCCGATCGCTCTTTCAGCGGAATAAATAATAAAGAAAGATTTCTTCTTCCTTCTTTTCTTTCTTTTTTTTTTTTTCGTAATTCGAACAACGCGGAACGTAAATAAATACGCTCGTATTATCGCGCGTAATTAGGGACGATTAAAAAAGAATAAGATCGAGGAGAAGGGAGAAAGATCGATGTTGTTCGAATGGAAACGGAAGTTGGGGATGGAAGAAATATCGTTTCCGCTGGGTCGGCAGTGGAGGGAAAAATTGAGAGGCTCGTTATCGAATTACGGTAACAACTCGAAACTGTTCGCAAAGCTGTTATATTAGGCGGCCATTCAAAGCATTGAAATCCACGATGCAATTGCGGATTGGTATTACGGCTGTGACGTTGGAATTATCCCGATTACGTTATCTCGCAACGAAATCGTTCTTTTTCCCCCTTCTTCTTCTTCTTTTTTTTTTCCGCTCGTTCCGCTTCTTAACGAAGCTCGGTCGACTTCGACCGATTTATTTATCGTCTCGCTTCTTTATGTTCGATGGTGAATTAATCGCCACGAACGTCTCCTTGCGAGGCTCGATTCTGTGGTTCACCTCGTCGCTTAATGCAATGTTTATTTATACAACTGGAACAAATAGATATTTTTTCGTGGAAGAGGAAACACGGGATGAAGAAAGAGAGTCGAGGTTCCTCGCGAGATTCCTCGAATCGCTTCCTCTCCCCTTTCAAACTTCCCTCTCGGGTCCTCTACTCGTGCAAAGAATTTATTCCGCCGATTACTTCGCTTTTCTTGGTCCACCCTTGATTGTCCTCTCGGATAAAAGGGGGGAGGAAAAAGGGAGGAGGGACAAAGAGGAAAATGGATGGGAAAAGGAAAAAAAGAAAGAAAGAAAGAACAATCCCAACGACGGTGTACAACGTCGTCTGCAATTTCGGCTTATCTTTGTAGATAAACTCTGCCATTAGTGAAAGTAGCACGTTTCAGCGGAGGGGGCTTTAATTAGGCTCACTCAATTATTTGAGCATTAAAGGAGCTTCCGAGCAGGGGACGTCGTACCTCTGGAAATGTCGTTAACAAAAGCTCTCCGCGTTAAAATCCCATAACTATCGTGAGGATGATAAATTGCAGAACAGGATTTCCATTCGTGAGATCTTTGAAAAAAAAAGAAGGAAAGAACGAAAAGGGGCGAGTATATTGGTAAGAGAGAAACAATAGAATAATGTTAAAGGTTTGATTAGATCGTAATCCTGATTTTATGGGATTACGCGCTACATAGTAAGATTCTTATTGTTTCTTCTTTCTTCTCTGTAAGGAAAGGAGACTCCCTCCAGACTCTTTATCCTCAATTTTCTGAACTCTGAACTCTGAAGTGGCTGATTCAAATTAAGTAGCGCGTGTATTTTCTCGTGAGGCTCGGTGGGAGGATAGTACAATTGCGTTCGTAGAGATAATGGAAACTTTTAAATTTTCCCGAAGTTTTACACTTTTATGCCTGCAAACATATTGTACTTTATAACTTTATTCATCGCTTCCTCGAATTAAACACTTTTCCTCCATTCGTCTCTGCATTTACTTTTGGATATTATTCTTTCTTTCGTTCGAGGAAGCCATTTTTTGAAAAATAAATATTCGAACGCTTGAAGTTTTTAAACATCATTCGATATAATCTCCTCTCTCAGGCCCTGAAAAAGAAAATGAAAGAAATAAAAGAGATAAGGGAATTTATCCATTTCTTCGCCCGAAATTATGGAGATTAAAAGATGTGCTTGTAAACAAAAGGAAATAAGATAATTAGACTGATACGTAAACGTTCCATTTTTCTCTTCCATATCTCTTCGCTTTTAGATCGATTCATTTAATACAAATTCCACGATCCATACGATATTTTTAATTTCAATTTGTTCACCGATTCGTTTCATCATATTGCTTTTTCTTTGTTCTCCCGATAATTTGATCTCGAATCAAATAAATTAAAAAAATGGGTCGTTTTATTCCCCATATAACCTGCTATGCCTGTACAGAGATTGGGGTTTAAAGATAGAAAGATAGTTTTATACGTCATTTTCTGCACGAGTGGCCTGAACACCGGAAAATCGGATTCCTCCGGCTCCATTTCATACGATCCAGCCAGGTAACGGAGAAAAAATCGCGTAATGGACGAGAGAAAAAGAGAGAGAGAGAGAGGAGGGGAGTAAAGAGAAAAAGAGCGTACTGTATTGTGAGCATTCAAGCTGATAAATAAAATGCCACGAAATTACTCGATCCGCGAATCCGCCAGAGTAAATTAAAAATTTCCTACTCGAATCTGTCGATTGCGCCCACAATGCGTCTATTTCATTTTTTTTTTTTTTTTGATCAGATCGAAACATCAACTCTCATCGATCCTTTTTGTCTTATTCCTTTCGTCTGATAACGTGAATTCGCGAATCAAACGTAACACATATCGATATCTTTCGATAAATTATCCATACTTTCACGAGATTCTTTTTAATATATTATCTATCGATGTTTCTCCTCTTCCTTTTTTTAAGTGAGAAAAAGAAAATCAAATCTAATCAAAACGAGAACGAAATTAATTCTCATCGTTCGTTCTCAATTTTTTCCTCTTCCAATTCGAAAATACATTCCCGATTAGAATAAATTCATAATACGCGCATAATACAGTTTCGCGCATTGTTCGCACGAGACAATTGCTTCTTTAACGAAATATCCCTTTCGTTCCTTTTCGTTTCTAATTATCGTGGAAGAGGTGAAAGGATGATGAAAGCCGCTCGGTCGAACGGTATTCATAATTCACGTGTTTACACGAGAAGAAAGGGGAGGGAGAGAAAAGGGCGGTGACTCAATTATGAAGATGGCCGCGGCTTCCTCACGGTTAATTATTCATAAATTGGCGAGGAGCCACGCGTCTCACTACATCGAGCGCTTCCGTCCTGGGCGGAAGTTGAAGGAATTCCCGAAAAGGAATTAACCGCCGCGATGAAATCGAACTCTGCCCCCCCCCCCTCGAACTTTCCCTATTAATTACTTTGCGCCACCGTTCGCGGCGATTAATTAAAATTATAGGAAAAGTTTCGAAACACCTGTTACGTGTTTAGAATTATTCCCCTCTCGGATAATGAAATTCTTCGGGAGCCGTGAATCGATCGTGAATCTGGATAACGATAATGAAAAAATATTTATGAATACGTCAAGTAAAGTAAGGTCCATCTTTTGTCTTTTCCAAGATTGGATTATATTTTTTTCGATTTTTTGGATTACACGACGAGCTCGAGAAACGAGCGTTTTATATATATAAGCGTGCAACGATCCTCGTAAAAGATTGGCATTCTTCTTCTTCTTCTTCTTCTTCTTCGTGAAGGTACGCATCAAACGCAAGGGATCTTTGCAAGTGGTGGCCATCTCAGCATTTTTATTCGGAAGCATGCAACAAGTTTTGACGAGCGATCAATTGTTCGGCAATATATCCGGATTAAAAATAGAGAAACTTTTGCTTATTTGAAATTTTTTTTACGACCATCTTTCATTCCGTTTTACATTCCGTGATTTTACGCAAGCGAACATCAAACGAATTCCATTTCGTCCTACCGTGTCTCGTAACGTTTTCGGCAAGCAACGTTAATAAAAACGAATTATGCGCGCGACGGATTTAAACTTCATCCGCGAGAAGGTGTAGCAGAGAGACGTGGAAGCGCAGTAGAAGCAGAAATGCCGCCCTTTCTTCTTCGCCCGTTTCACGGTTTTCAAGATTTTCACGAGACACGCCCCCTTTTTATTAGAAACTGGCGCCCCGTTATATTTTTCCACGGCGTTGGAAGCCACGACGGATCCAATCTTAACTCCAAATTACACCTTAATGGGCGAGCATCCGTCGGCCGGGTCCCCGGGACGTTCCTCTAATTTGAGCAGATTATTAAAATCGCATCGCGCTGATCCTCGAAATGAAGGATCACCCCGGCAGCCAAGCGACGATGGAACTTTTCTCGTAAAATAAATCAGCCGATCCCATCGTGGTAATTCGGCGCAGCCGCCTCTGCCTCCGCCAGTAATATCGGATATTTTCTTAATGGTGAAACTTGCACCGAGACTCTCCTCTTCATCCTCGTTGATAAATCGGTACATCGTTGGTACCCCCTTTCGATCCTCTCCTTATTCCAATTATACCAAGTATTTCGATTCGATCGAGTTGTCGCGTTCTCCTTACTCGAAATTTAGACATTTTTCGAAAAGGAAATGAAAACGAAGGAAAAATGGAACACATTTCCTATTGAAATTTTAATGTGCACAGCACGAAATGAAAAATTAGTAAACCGGTTAAATTTTAGAAATTTTATACGAATTTCGGTGTACAGAGTTTTTCGTTACTTAATTCTAATTAAAAAAAAATATAGATCTCGCGCGTTTTGTTTTATTAATATTTGATGCGTTTTAATTGGATCAAAGTTACGAGGAATTTATCTTAAGCGTAAAGCGTGGCCTACTCGCGAATTCCAGATGTTAAAACTAACACACAGTTTCCATTTGTTCCAGGCACTGCACGAGCGACTACATAGCCGTATACTCGGGTTCAACAACGTCGAGTCCCCTTCTGAAGATGCTCTGCTTCAAGAACAAAACGTCGTTGACGTACAGCGGCCGGAAACTGTTGGTCGAGTTCAGGTAAGGGAGGGAAGGAACACCGTACACCTGCTTTCGAAGCAGTTCGACTTAAAGTAAAAGTATATTCAACCGTTTCTCTTATTCGATATCACAAAAGTTTCGAATTCTACCAAAGAATACGAAGAGTGGAGAAGAATCCTTTTCTTGCAGAACGGGGCCGGAAGTGCCGCCTTTCGATTACAACGGCTTCGTAGCGACCCTTAATTTTATAGAAATCACTACGGAAGCACCGACAACTGTTACCACGGATAGCACGAATAAAAGTGGTGAGTTGTTCGCAATAGAAGCGTAGTCTAGGCTTTGTAAAGCGTTTGTATCGTTTCGTCTCGACGATTGTCGATTTAAGAGATTCGACAATGACGCGATTTAAAGGGTATAAAGGGTTTCGATTACAATTTCTCTCTCCCTCTTTCTTTTTCTCTTGATTGAATCAACGACTTCAAAAGATTCGGAGGCTGATTAGATGATATAAATAAAAGACGAATGAAAAATTCGTCGAACGGTTTAAAAATAAACTTTTAATTTCCACTCGTTGAGCTCGAGTACTTGAACTTGAATCATCGACGAAAAATTTTGAAAAGTTCACTGTCGTTGTTCGTTATTCATCGATCGTCATTAAATATATATTTTCCGCGTGCATGGTGAAAATGTTAACGAATAGTACCAATAATTTCCAATTAACGCAATTTCATTTCTTTTAACTCGTGTCGATCATCATTTATTTTATTTCTACGCGTAGAATAATAATGTAGAAAAAAAAAAAAAAAAAGAAAGGCGTAACGTTTCCAACACGAACGATCGCAGTCGAACGAAGGGATAGTTAAATCTGATTTAACAAGCGCCAACGATAAAAAATGGCGGCGATGTGAAGCGGTCTGTTCGTTAGAGAATCGTGTTCCACGGGGGATTTTTCTGAATTATTCTGAAAAATCCGCGGCTACACCCGCCGCCCGAGATAATTAATTCCAATTCTCGTTTTTATCCGATCAGATTATAACCTATCCGAAACTGGGTCGTTCTTATTTGACGAACGGTGATTTTAACGATTCCACGAATATCCCCTACAATTTTTCCCCGACCTATCCAATTTCGATCTGCCCGATTTTGCATTAATTCCTCGAGGATTAATTCTCGAATGCGAATTTCACAGTGGACACGACGAAACCGGTCAACGGTGGTGGTGGTGGTGGTGGTTACAACAACGTGATGTACAGCAATCGCGATCTCCAGGATCATCGTAAAGATCAAGGCTCGATATCCGGAAGCTGTGACCTCGAGGTGAACGGCGAGAAAGTGAGGGCTGGCCACCACGACACCAGGGGGAAACTCAAGTCCACCACGTGCAAGCTCGTGCTTCGTGGACGTGCTTACGACACTGGACACGTCTCGTTGACCAGTTACAATCTCAGGTAACGGTGGAACGCCCTTTAACTTTCACGTGAGGCCACGTTCGTATATACGTATATACCACGTATATATTTGTGAAAATGTTTGTGGGTGGTGATTTATGTTTTCGAAACAATTTATATAAGGTACGTGATCGGATTATATTCACCGAATATTCAGGGTATCGAAATATTCTTTTGACGACAGATTATTTCGTCAATGCGTGTATTCTTTTTTTTTTTTCTTTTTTAAATGCGTAGAAATGCGTTGAATTTTTTTAACGAAAAATAGGACGCGATCGTGTTTGATCACATTTTGACAACGATCGATTTCAATCGTAAAATGTGAATTGGGAACAATTCGAATAATTTGAATAATTGGTATTTTTTCGTTCCAAGCATTTCGTTCCAACGAGTTGAATGATTTTCGTTAAATTAATAAAAGAAATTGATAAATCGATAAGGAACGGGGGGATTATCTATGGCTTATTCATTTTCTTATTTTATACACGATTATTGTTATATACGAACAATGTTATTCTGGTCTGGGTTTGATTAAGATTTCATTCGATTACAGACTTGCCATTATCCGCTTAAATAATATGTCACGATAACAATATATTGTATTATTATTATTATTGTGATTATTATCGATTGCGCCAAATTATTATTGGGAATCATTTACATGAAATAATTATTAATCAACATTCGCTTTAAAACGATATTTCGCATAAGCAAACATTTGTTCGGGCATCGAAATCGTTTTTACCGATCCGCAAATACGGGGATATCAAAGGGAGAGAGAGAGAGAAGAAAAAAAAAAATAATTAAAATTATTCGGAAAATTATTAGATTCAAAGCGATAAAGAATTATTCAAAAACGTTCAACAACTCGCGAAATATTGCAATTGCGTTTCGAAAAAAAAATAATTCACGTTTATACGGTTACGAAAATGGAAAACGGCAACTCCGAAGTTTTAAATTTCCCGTCTGCCTCGCGGAAAATTCTTAAAAAACATAAAAAACACCAAAAAGAAATAGAAAAGTCGAAATTAATCACATTCAACGCGATATTAACTAAAAACTGTTTTTCTTTTTTTTAAAATTATCTTTCCCAAAATATCCAAAAAATGGAACGAAAATTCCTCAAATTTCCTCTTCTTGGCACTTTCCACTTCCAAATTGGGAAGAAGCAATGTCTACACACGATCTCGAGAATCTTGGACACGGTGTTAAGGCGATTCGAGCGAAAGGTTGGGAAAAGCTTTTGTAAGAGAAATGCAGTCACGTAGCGGACCGTGTGCCACGAGCGGCATGGTCTGAATTGTGCATTTCATTTGTTTACCTTTTTCGAGGGCTCTTCGAGCGAATTCGGCTCCGTTCGGCTCTGATCGATCGATCGTACGAAATCCAACGACGGGGGTAGCCGACACTTCGATTTAATTAGCCGGCTCTCGAGCGAAGAAGCTCTTTCGTCGAGATATACGGTTTCATAAGTGTATTAAATAATATTCGAGCTAATAATCGACATGATACAAAGGGGGTACAGAACAGATAAAAGAAAATTTGGAATCGAATAAGAGGTAATCTTGTTTCTACGTTTTGTGATTCTTGACGAATATCGAGAGTAATTATTCGCGAGAGATTTTTAATAAAATTCTTTTTTTTTTTGTTTTCTTTTAAATTTTTACACGTCTAAACTTATGTGTAAGCATTTGCAGTTTGATTGCGATTCAAATTTTGTTTATGTTCAATTACGTATAGTATTAAAAGTTTGATAAATCGAAATCAAAAAAAATATTCGTATAATTAAAAAGAGTGAAACGTACAGTTTAGAAATCCTACGTATTGAACATGTCCTTTAGATAAAAATCTCTGGTTTGTATGATATACAACGGAAAAGTAGAGGAAATCATTTAAACACGAGTAAATGTTGACACATTTTTATATTTCTCGTCAATAATTACTCAACAGCAACTAATTGCAGCAAATGTAAACCTAAATACATACATGTACACTTCTTAACCCGTAAAAGCAATCTTCGTTCAATTTCGCTCGAATTATGAATCACGTTCAACCCCCCCCCCCCCTTCACACATCGAAACGACTAACTCATAATAATACACTATTCAAGAGCAAACTTTCCTGATCTCTCGTTAAACATTCTTGCGCCACCCCTGGGAAACCCAGAAGAAGAATCTCGTTTTCCGGCCGCGCGAGTATCAATCAGCATAACTCATCGAAATACTGCCAACTATAGATAGAAACCCGTCCAACCCTGCTCGTCCTCTCGGAAGTAATAGATACGAAGTAGTAGTAAATCACACGAGAATGCGGCTGGCTCGTATCCCCGGGATTTTCAATTATCATGCACAATGGCTGCAACTCGCGCGGACCATGCATTCGTGGCTTTGTTAGATATGTGCTCTGCAAGAGAGATGGAACACGCGGTGGGTTGGTTCAGAGCCTCCACCCCCTGCATTCTCCCCGCGAGACCTCCCCGCGGCTCGAATCGTAGCCAAGGAGAGAACGTAACCCCGCCGCCTCCTCAGACGGCAGATATATAACCGGGAATAAACTAAGTGAAGACACGCAGAACCGTGAGAGGAGGAAGGGGGTGAGAGAGGGTGGATGCAGGCTTCAGACGAAGGGTTTATATCGGGGGTGGCATAAATTTTCGATGGAATATTGCGGATCCGTGAAAGGTGATGGGAGGACGTCCTCTTTGAATTGGTGATGCATATGAAAACGGTTAAATGATTATTGGAAATTTTTTCGAAGAAAAATTTTTAAAACCCTGTTTATGAATTAATGAGTTTTGCGAATTATATTGGGACAAAGTGATCCTTTTTGTGTGGAAAGGATTGAGGATTGGAATCGTTAGTAAATTTTTTTTTTTGTTAATAATATTGGAATTCGTGATAAAAGATGGAAAGTTGTAGAAAAATTATCGATTGATCTCTTGTTCGATTAAATTAGTTTTATTAGTTAGAATTTAAATTTCAATGCATATATATATATATATATTTTTTAATTTTGCGTTTCCCTTGATACTAATATCTATCTTCTATCTGCTAATTATTTTCAGAAGTCAACAATTGAGCTATTGTACAGAATATTGTGCAATCAACTCTAAAATTTCCATTGGGCAGTTAATTATCCCCCTGATATATTGTCAGATCAATAATAATCTAATAACACATCACAATAGCTGATACCACATTACATCGTTCATTTCGTACCACCGTATATACATATAACGGATTGTAATTAACATCGTCACCATTTCATTATAAGAAGAAAATAATTGGATACGATATAATAAATATTTTGTTCGCGTAGATTTTACCAATTTATCAAAATTTAAGTTATCACTTCATTATAGATATATATATATATATTTATCATTTATATATATCATGCCACACTATGTACGTATTATATACTAGATAGTTACTATCGGCGGTTTCAGATATTCCTAGGGGAAGTTCGAAAACTACCTGCATCGATATCGAGGATATCATAATATTTGAATATTTTGTCAAGGATAATTTACAATAATTTCCAACAATTTGCAATAATTTCTCGTGAAGAAAACGGGCAAATGATGAATAACGAGTCAATATCAAAATATGCATTGAACAAAAACTTCTCTGACAATCCATTGTACATCATCACACGTTTGTCAGCCTGAGAATTCCCAAGTTATTCACAGCGATTGCGTATGCTACGTTTGACGCACGATTTGTTAGATTCCATGGAATCGATACAGAGCTTAAATTTGGCTCGAGTATGACGCAATAATAGGGAATGGTACGAGGTACGCGCGTAATCGGATCCGATACTATACTTCGAATTGTAAGTTTAGAGGTTGTGATTACGAATGTGACGACACGCGGCACGTTCGCAAGGATAAGACGCGATGTCGAACTTCGAACTCTAATTTTCGATTAAACGAATTTCTATTATAATGTACCATGTATCAAGAGAATTTATTACGAACTCTTGATTGTTATTTTTCTTTCTTCAAATATTTTTCAATATAATCACGCAATATTCACTTTTTTCTCGGAATCAACTTGTTTTAGAAATGAGGAATTTTTTTCTTCTTTCGTCAATTAATAATGACAGAATATTGTATTGTTACATGGAATTTGAAAAAAAAATTTCACGAATTTATAACTTCGAAAATCGAAAACTCGAAATGTACACTGGATTAATTTTTACCTCGGCATTCATAACTTATATCTCCGTGAATGATGAATCTACTGATCCATATTCCATTCGAGTTTTATCGGGTTGACCTTTTTTTCCATCGGCGTTCAAGCCCTCAAATATTCACCGGACGAAAAGTAGGTGCGGGACACGGAAATTTTTAACAACTCCTGACGTCCCTGACATCGATTTATTCAAGCTGCATTATTTACCACGACCGATACACGTCGCATTCCACATATTTCCTTATTATTTCATATTTGAAACGTTTACCGTCGGTCATTACTTCGTGTAACGAACGAAACGATACATTCAGAGCAAATTAAATTGTTAAAAACGTTTAATTTCCTGTGGGCAGAAATTCGTCAAGATCCATTCATCTTGGAAAACAAGATTTTATTTGAAAGTTTTCTTTTTTAAAAAGAATTTTTTTTTTTTTTTCGTTTTACGCTCTTTTCAAGTGATTGAAATTCGTTCGTGATTTAAACATTACATCTCGATCCTCTTTTTTATCGCAAATATTGATAAGATAAATAAGATATAAATACTGGATGAACTGGAAAATAATAATTCCTATTATTCTAAAAAATTAGCATCTCGCGATACGAATCAATGACGAAACTTTATCTTTGCGTAACCAAATACGATGAGTGCATCCATCATTTTATAACGTCTCGAAAGGTTTGAAAGAAGCAGAATTATTTTTAAATTCTAACTTAAGATTCTTAAACACTTTAATAACGTGGTGTTAAATACCCATCAAAAACCCTTTTACGCCACACAAGTTCAAATTACCAATTATAGAATATACCCTTTTCTTGTAATTTCTAAAACTTGGTCAACCTCTATCAACCGAATTTCTCGCTTCCTTCCTTCAATTAACTTGAAATTTTCAATATTCGATATACGATGCCAAAATTAAGGTGTTATTAAATTTAAAAATAATAATTGCTGGAAGAAATATCGTAAGCTTGAAACGAATGGAACGGTACACCTGCTCTCTCTCTGTGGATGTTACAGCGCCCAGGCTTGCCAATCTTCGATCGAAATATTCGACGGCCCCTCCGAAGGTAGCGCGAAATCCCTCGAGAGAATCTGCAGTCCTGTACAGCGGCCTCCGCCGGAATTCGTGCAACAAGATACGTAAGTGGATTCTCCAGTTATTAGACGAGAAATACCGGCGTCGTCTACATCGCGCGGCTTATTACTTGGATACTCCACCACTAAGAAGTAGTTGGAATTCCGTTCGATTCGCCACGCGAAATGCAAACCGCTACCTTCGAATTGACACACAGCTCGTTGAACTTGGGAAATTAATGCGGGGAACTCGTCCCCGTTGATCGGCAACGTTCGGTTGACATTCTCCTCCTTCCCTCCCCTCCCCCCCGAGGAGAGGTATTGCTAGCCACCAGCTTGGAAAATTCGCTTCAAATCCGGTTTGGACACGATTGATCGGAATTCAAAATTTAAGATTTCCTGTGATGATACGACAATAATCAATTTTAGATCAGTTTAGATACGAAGTATGACACGCTCTACCAAATTGGATGATCGAAGTATTGAGAAATTTTCCTCTCCAATGATATATAATTAAAATTGCGAAAGGATATTCGTATTTCTTGCGAACGAGGAACGAGCAAATCATTTTTACCCAAACGACGACCACGTTCCCTTCGTAGAATTTTCCAAACTATGACTACCGGTAACCCAGATTAATCCGGGCTCGATGCTGGAAAAACGTGAAAACTTGCCCCTCCCCTTCATTCACCTTATCCAGGCCGTGTTTCACCAGTCGAAGAACCCGCGATTGAGCGCGGGTTTCATCGAGACCTGCCTCCCCTCCTCGTGCTCGATGAATGGGATCACGGTTTCCCGCCGTTTCCTTTTCGCTCTCTGTCCGATCTAATCAAAAGTGACGCTGAGCGCAGAGAGAAGGCTCGGAGGTAGCAATGATAACGTTGCACACACACACACACACACGCGCGCGGACGTTTTCGATCTGAAAAACGCGTTGCTTGATCGCCGATCCCACCGAGGGGGGACGTAATCAGGAAACAGCCTCGACCCGTTCGTCATTGGTGCATCCACCAGCATAGGGTATGAGAGGGACACGGAGAGGCTCATCGGAAGTCGAGGATGAAAGATGACTGCGCCGCGATGCACATCGTTGGATGCGCGTACGTTTGCATTTACGCCGAGTACGCGGGGAGGGTTTCGACGAGAGGAAGATATTACGAAGAGAGGGAGAGAGAGAGAGAGAAGACGACGATTACACCATTTCTCGAACCAAATCGACGACGAGATAGATAGACACGTATGCGTCGGGGCCGCCATATTGAACGGGAACGCATTATGGGAACTCGTTTCTCTTCCTAGACGCTGTTGTGAACAACCGATTTAATACCGATCGATCCGCTCGTACGCGTAATAACGCGTCGTCTTTGGGGGTGAGGAGGGGAGGAAAAACTAGGCATCTCGCGGGAGACGAATTCCTTTCTTGTCCTTTGATATCGTGGAATTTGAATATCGACCCCCTTGGATCGCGCGACTTATATCCTTTATCGGGGATTCTTTCATTTTATTTTATTTTCTCTCTCTCTCTC